CGGCAGCGGCATCGGACGAGGCTGACAGCTTCATGTATCAGTCGGCGGCTCACACCGCAATAGAGGCGCAGGCGGAGTGCTTCGGGAAGCCGCTCATTCGTAGGTAAATGCCGGCGAGCTGTCGGTGTCGTTGTTGTTGATCCGCTGCTGCTATTGCTGCTGCTGGCCGTGATTGTCAACGCTGTGAGTGGTTGTGCCGGTCTCTGTCGATAACTTTGCTGGACCAGTCAAGAGCCAACGCCCTCCGACGAGCGACCTAAGAAACGCGGGTCCCAGCTTTTACCCTAGGGGCAACCTGCCCCCGCCTCTGGCGTGGCTTTTAAGATCGGCAGCACAGCCTTACACTATCAGTGTAACGCGTTCAGTGTCCCCGTGCCGTTACCTGCCGCTGCGCGCCGAGCTCTAGATTTCTGTGCCTCGCCATACGACAGAGGCTCATACCCCTTCCCTTTTCTCTCGCCTCCGTTTCTCTTCTGTGGTGGGTGGACTGACTCGGAAGGGAGCTCGCGGGGAGGGCCGTGAACCAGGCCCTCCAGTACAGCCTCACCGAAGATGATGAGGTGGAAGACCTATTTCTACTCCTGAAGGAAGTCAAGGTGCCCGCTCTATGCCGTACGCACCTCTTGGCGCGCTCGAGCCGTTTTATTGGCTTCGAGTTGCCGAGCGGATAGAATTGGTGGTGTGTTTGTTTGCCGCCCATTGTTGGTTGCGGTGATAATGTTGTTGTTGGCGATGGGTACGGGAGGAATCGGTGTTGGGGATGGGGATGGTGTTGGTACTGCTGCAAATATCGGTGTTTGATTGTGAGGTTGTCGCCATTAGGGTTGTTTTGGTGTCCGCGTTGACGACGAGGTGGTTTACCAAGAATATTTGGTGGCCAGTGATAAGTTTCTCCAGCATGATGTTGCCTGGTTGGCGTACGGCTGTGTTGCCCTCGCCGTCGACACCCGCACCGCTGCCATCACAAGTTGCTACGCCACACAACCCGCGCGACCATCTCAACAGGAACGTTTCCCGGAGGTGGAGGGGGTCGGTTCCGGCGCTATCCTGTCCAACTACCAGCGCACTCGCGTGGAGAACGTCTGCGGGAGGCTGGGCCTGACGTCCCTCGCTTACCTGTGGAGACGACCGCAGTCTCCTCTGTTGGCGGAGATGGTGGAAGCCGGCCTGAATGCTGTCTTGGTGAAGGTGCGGATGTACCTCCTGTTTTTTTTTATACGGGAGAAGAATGCGGTGGTTTGATTTTGGCTCGCGCGGCTTGTTTTTTTCGCGCTTGCGATGTCCACATGTTTTCTAGATAGTTGTGCGAGAATACTAGTAGCGGCTACACATGCCATGTTATAGCGAAAAAGGCCCGCTGCCGCTGCGGCCAGGGGTGGCACTGCGTTTAGATGGAGGCTGTGCTATGTACGTGATGGTGGTGTTATGTGACGATGATGACGATGGCTTTGACGATAGTCGGATGTAGCGCTGCTGTTGTTGGCGAAGATGCTGGCCGGTTTGCATCCGAGAGGCAGAAACAACGCGACGATCGAAAAATAGGGCACACTGTCGATCAAAAATGCTCGGACTTGTCGCTTGTTTCAATCGTGACTCTATCCAAGTTGTTTCGTAGAAAAAATGAAGTTATTGGTGTTCACATTGGTGAAAAAACGCTCCAGGGTTTCGAGCATTGGTTGTTAACATGCGTCCATTCTAGCATCAAGTCCATCGCTAACATCAAGTCTGATATTGTAGGTTTCGACACACACATATGCCATGGTACACACATGCGGTTTTCTTCTGTTATTGCTACGATATCTGTCTTTCATCCGGAGAGTAGCGCGGCCTCCCCCATGACGCCCCCTCACGGGGTCCCAGATTATGCGGCCTTCAGAAGCATTTTGTGTTTTCAACCGCACTGAGACCGACGTCTTTTCATTGGTCAGCCGGTTAGCGCGGTCGATGCTACTTAATTCTAAAACACATACAAACACGCGCGCGCGCGAAAAACGCACAGGTCGCGTCGTTCGGGCTGGAGCCATCCAAGCACCTCGGGCGCTCTCTCGCTCGCCTCCGGCCCTTCTTCGAGTCGCTCCACTCCCGCTGCGGCTTTCACGTATGCGGCGAGGGGGGAGAGTACGAAACCCTCACGCTCGACTGCCCTCTGTTCGTCAGGAAGCTGGTAAGCATGACGATGATGAACCCTGCGGTGGTTGCCTGCCACACACACACCCCTCCTCCAGCGACGGTAGTCGCACTATTTTTGGCGTAGACAGGGTCAGCTCGCACTGACGGTTGTATTCTAGAGGGGCGTGGATGGAAAAACCCCGGGTGAGTGTGTGGAAGACGTCCCCTGTTCTGTTCTGCGTTGACCGGGCGTGAGAGTAGGGAAGGCTCGCCCTCAGCTGCCCTGATGTTTCGTCTTTACCCTGGTAAGACGCAACATCGGAGGATCCCACAGTTTGGATCCCCCCCCCCCCCCCCTTGTTGGTCGTGTTTGGCCCGAAGAAAGTAGCGTTGCTCAACCACCTAGAACTTATTCAGTTATTTCCGTAAATATCCAGGTCAGCCTTTGACCACGGAAGGTCCTCTTCCTTGCCTTGAGTAGTACGGTGCGGAACACGAGGGCTCTAATAGGTGGAGGTCAGAACCACCTTCGACGTGATTGCAACAGCAATACTAACAAAATACCGATCAAGCCAACAGTCCAAGCAACGATCGAGCAGCAATCAAGCAACCAAATCGACGACAACAACAAAGAGCAATCGAGTAAACAGTGAAGCAACAAGCAAGCAGCAATTCACACAACATAAATCAACGACAACAACGACAACAACAGCAACAGTAACAACAACAACAATAATTCACACAACATAAATCAACGACAACAACGACAACAACAGCAACAGAAACAACAACAACAACAACAACAACAACAGGTGCTCGACGAAACCGTGGTGGTGAACCACTCGGACGACATGTTCGCCCCCGTGGGACTCCTGAGGGTGGTCAAGTGCCACACCGAGCCGAAAACGCCGCCCCTCACCGGCGGCAGCATAAGCGCTGCCGACAACAACACCGGCAAAGACAATGCCACGGGCGGCACCGCACTATCGACGGCGGAGGCGGCAGTGTCAAAGGATGATGCTCCTTCCGCCGCCGCCGCCGCCGCCGCCGCCGCCGCCGCCGCCGCTGCCGCTGCCGCTGCTGCTGCTGCTACCACGGGTAGTACGGGTAGCGGAGGCGGCGGCGGTGGCAGCGACGGGGGCGCCATAGGCAAGGATGCCGTTCCTGAGTCGGTCTCATCTCCATCTCCCCATCCTTCTTCGGTGTCGTGCTGCTTGCCGCATGTGCACGAGGGATCGGGGGGACTGGTCTACCTCTCCGGGGTTCGCGCTGCCGCACGGTGGCCGGGGGCGGGAGGGGGCGCAGCCGCGGCGGCGGCGGCGGCGAGGCAGGCGGCCGACTGCCTGGAGGCGGCGCGCACGGGCCTCGAAGGTATCGGCGTGTGTCTCCGAGACGTGTGCTTCGTGCACCTGTACTTGCGGGACATGAGGCTCTTCTCAGCCGTCAACGAGGAGTACTGCAAGTGAGATAGATACATGTGGTTTGGTTTAGATAATGTTTGTTGCACACAACTACTTGGTATGCTCTGGCCATCAGCGAGGAGTGCAGCAAACGAGACACATGTGGTCAGAAAGATTCGTACATGGCGCAGAGATGCATGTAGAAAGAAAAGTGTTTATTGCACACAACTGCTTGCTGCTGTCGTACGAGGTCCGTTTTTCTGTCGTCCACGAGGGAGTGCTGCAAGCGAGACAGATCAAAAGCGATAAAACACGAAGCTATTGCTGTTGCTTGCAGGGGGTGTCCTGAAGGGTTACCTTCTTCTGTGACGAAGTATCTCTCCGCAGGTCTGGGTTGTATGCATGCAGGGATGTCGGGTGTGGTGTTGTGGGTGTTGGGTGGTAACAGCAGACTTCGGCACACGGCCTGGCGTGGTCGCTTGGAGTGCGTCGAGTCGTATGAATGCCTTGAAGGGGGAGTTTGTTTCTTCACCCGTTTCCCCCGATGCGGCAAATGTTCTCTCTTGCGCCCCGCTTACACAGCGCACTTCGCAGGCATAGTGTAGGCATGGTGTAGGGTGTATGGTCGGTTCCTGCTCCTCGTGTATGGCGTGTCCTTTTTCGTTCTCCATCACGGACAAGAGAGGAAGGCGAAGAGAGAGATAGAGAGAGAGAGAGAGGGCAAGAGCGGGAAAGACTTAAGAAGACATGCATATATTGGAAGCTTAAGAGAGGGAGTGAGAGAGAGGGCGGGAAAGCAAGAGAGGGAAAGACGGAAGACATACATACAGACAGACAGACAGATAATATATAGATATATAGAGAAGTAGAAAGGCATAGGAGAGAGAGAGAGAGAGAGAGAGAGAGAGAGAGAGAGAGAGAGAGAGAGAGGACGGGACAGAGGCAGACAGAGCGACAAAGTCTAACGAGACGAAAAACGCGCAATCCGAGCAGGTGGTTCGAGGGAGAGAACCCGCCGTCGAGAAGTTGCGTGTCTGTCCCGCTGCCGCTGGGCTGCTCCGTCATGCTGGACCTCGTGGCCCTCCGTGGAAGCGGAGAGGCTCTGGCGAAGGAAGGGGCGGCCTGCGCTCAAAGACAGGTACTGTACCCTTGAGGTCATGGTTTGGAGGCACACTAGTTGTGTGTGTGATTTTTGCTTCAATTATCCGCTGGGTTGTGCTCGTTTCGGTGTGCGAATGTGGCCGGGGTTTGTGCGCTTTCTGTCCTCGAGTTTCGTCAAAGTAGGATCGATTTCATCGAGTACGTATGCATCGCCTCGTAGTAGTTTTTCGAGACCCGTGCGTGGAGAAACCCTGGCTGGCTTTGGGTGCATTCAACCAAGTCGACTTCACTCCCCGGCTCCCTCTCCTCTCCCGGCCTTCCTGCCTACCCCTCTCTTTTCACCACTCTCTGTCTCCTCCGCTTGGCGTCACCCCCCCTGCATATCGCCCCGTCCCGGCATTGTAGGATGCGAGGTCAACGGTCTAACGACTACGACATGCGTTTACGTAAGTACCCCCCCCCCCCTTCCACCACTACTTTTTATCATAAGAACAGGTGTTGCACGTGCGCAGCATATCCTCCTGGGCCCCTGTGTGCATCGGCCCTTATTGCCAGGCCAACACGCTAGGCCCCGGAGGGGGTTTCGCCCTCGTCGCGGGGCAGATAGGCCTGCAAGCCGCCTCCATGACCTTCCCCGCCCGCCGCAGCGGCCGCCCTCCGGTCCCGTGCGCGGGGGGTGCCACCTCCAAGGTAAGCGTGTGGTATGTATCGGCGTTGTCGTTGTTTTTGTTGTTGGTTGCGGTGGAAGAGGTGGTGGAAGGTGGTGGAAGGTGGTGGTGTTGGTGGTGGTGGTGTTGGTGGTGGTGGTGGTGGTAGCGACTGCAGTGATGAGCGCACTGCCCTTGTTGTGCTTGCCCTGCCTGCCCACCCGTTTTCAATCCTCGACCCCTTTTCCGTGCAGGAGGCCATCAGCGAGAGGCGACCAATCCACGAGCAGGAGCTGTCGCTCTGTGTCAGCCACGCCTCCTCGGTAGCCTCCGCTGTCGGCGCTAGCGTGTCACGAGGGTGCGTGTTCGCCACGCTCTACGTCAGCGAGGAAGCAGCGGCGGCGGCGGCGGCGGCGGCGGCTGGAGGAGGAGCGGCTGTTGCGGCACATGCAAAGGCTGGGGCAATGGACAGAACGGACGAAGAAGGAGCCGTGGCGGGGGAGGGGCGCGGGGACACAAGGCGAACCAGTAGCAGCGACGCGGGCACCTCGGCGGGAGCAGCAGCACCGGCAGGCGGCAGCGGCGGCTGTTTGGAGGGCATGGTCGACGAGTGTCGGGTTCTCATGGAGGGGAGGCTTTCGCAGGAGCAGGCGGAGGCTGCTGCGGAGGCGGCGGGGACGGAGGGAGGGGAGGACGGCGATAGCGCGGAAGACGGATGGACGAGCGATCCGGAAGAGCTCGCCAAGGAGGCCCCCAGGAAAATGGTGAAGGGGGGGGGGGGGGGGGCACCGCAGAATGTAGGATAGGGTGTTGCAGGGTAGGGTACTGAAGATAGGGTGCTGCACGATAGGGTACTGCACGATAGGATGTTGCAGGATAGGGCCCTGCAGGATAGGGCCCTGCAGGATAGGGTACTGCTGGACAGGGTATGCTGGACAGGGTACTGCGCGATAGGATGTTGCATGATAGGGTACTGCAGGATAGGGTGCCCCCAGAATAGGGCACTGAAGGATAGGTTGCTGCAGGATAGGGTCTTGCAGGATAGCGTCCTGCACGATAGGGTGAGGCGGATTTCGTGGTGCTCGCTTCCCGCCCACCACATGAGGTTGTTCTTTCCTTCAGTACAGATAAATTTCTTCGTGCGCCCCGCGTCGTTTCTCAAGGGACTCCCGAAAAGGATGTGAGCAACGGACTACGTTAGCCGCTTGAGCCTCTCTCTGTGCCGCTTGAGCAGTCCCCTTGTAGGACGAGCAGCTGTCCTTCGCATGAGAACCCCTTTGTCGAGTGAGCAGCTGTCACATCACAGGAGGAGCCTGTTGTATCGGCTCGAGCTGCTGCTTGTGTCGTGAACGACCAGCGGCCTGTCGCCGGAGCAGCCGACTGCAAGCTTGGTCAGCTATGCTAGCTGCCTGGCGGTGGGGCAGTGTCTATTGGTGCGGGTATATACCGCACCCCCAGGACCGATTTTCAAAACTCGATTTCCCCACGGCACAAAGAGTTGAAGCGCCGGGAACGGCGGCGTTGAAGCCGTCTCGTCGAGAGCTTTCCGAAAACGTATCGGATCGTTCATGCATCCTCTTCATCGTTGAGAATGTATCGATCTTTGAAAATAGGCCCCGGGGTGCGTGGTATCTTGTGCGATGTCACCTATGGTACACCTCGCGGGTTGATTGGAATCCCCCCCCCCCATTTTGTTGCCTCTTGTTCGTGCTGTGGTGATTGATCTAGCCGATACAGAAACCGAGCCCTTGCCTTCCCCCCTTGCCTTTCGCAAACGGACGGTCAGGTGCTGGCGCGCCGCGTCCCGATCCTGGCTGTCGTTGTCCCCTCCCTGCCAAGAAACGCCGCCGTCGAGCTGGAGGTAGGAAGGGTGGCGGGGGGACAGCGAGAGGCTGGGTTGCCGCCTCCTCGAGGCTCATGTGTACGGTAACGCGTGCGCCTTCGCTGGCACGGCGGTGTGGCCTTCGTTGCCCTTAGCGGGAACACGTGTTCCGTTTTTTTTATGCCCCCCCCCCCCCCCCCTTTTTTCTCTCTCATTCGTACAACGTTTTTTGTCCTTTCGTGGTTGTCGGTGGATAGCTGCTGATATTAGGGTTGACTTAGCTTTACAGCCATCTATATTGGTCCACGCTCGCCCCTTTTCTCTCTCCGTCTTGGTGAAAGCACCAGATATATTAAGTCCTTTGGAGCTGTCATCCGTTAGTAAGGAAGAAAGCACAAGATGCCGAACACCCTTAGCAGGATGCAACGCACGAACACGCTCCATGCAACTCGCCGAATAACTCACGGCGCTTCGCGCTTGGTGATGTGAGAGCCTGGTCCGGTGTGAACCCGGCGTGCTCCGTCCCGGCTTTAAGGGGATGCGAGGTCAATGGTCTAACGACTACGGCATGCACGACTATGAGTACACCCTCCCCTCCCCCCCCATTTCTGCCATGGTGCCCCCACCCCAGGTGCTGTGCATGTCCCGCGCCGCTCTGTCGGTCCTTCCCTGCCGACACTACCCGCCTTCCTGCCGCACGGAACCCCTCAGCGCCTCGCCGTCAACGGCAACTAAGGGCCTGGACCACCCCATGCCGAGAAGGTTTATCCCCACGCCGCCGCCACCGCCAACGTCAGCTGTGGCAGTGCCTGCAAGCCCGGAGGCGCCGAGTGCTGCGGGCGGCGGCAGCCAAGATGGTGCTGTCGGAGGGGCGAGGATGGGAGCAGCAGCTGTATGTGAGGAGAGCGGGGTGGGTGGCGCCAAGAGGGTCTCGGCGAGGGTGATGACGACGGGTTCGACGGTGGACCGCATCCTTAGCGTGGCGGTGTCATCGCTCTCGATAGTCTGTGGGGACAGCTGCACCGCTTCCGCTGATGGTGGTGGTGGTGGTGGTGGTGGTGGTGGTGGTGGTGCTGTTGCTGCTGCTACTGCTACTGCTGCTGCTGCTGCACGCGAGACGTCCGTCGCACCGAACATCGCAGCCAACGCCAACATTACCCCTCCCCTGTCCGGGTCGCAGCTGGAACAAGCCATGAGCCTCGTGCTGGCCGGAGTCTCGGACGCCGTCTCAGCCGCCCGACTGAGGTGGCACGACGTCGCGAACCTTCGCGTCTACTACAACGCTCGCCGTCATGGGCCCTCTGGCGTCGCAGCGACGGGAACCGGCGGCGGCGGCGGCTACAGCGGCGGCAGCGATGGAATTGAGGAGGGGTTTCTCAAGAGGGCGACGTTTTTGGCGCTGGCCGGGGCCACGCGGGAGAGGCCGGCGGTCTCGTTCGTCCCCGTGAACGGGCTCGGGGGTGGGGCCGCCGTCAGCGTACACGCGACCGCGTGGAGCTTGGATAGGTGAATAAACAGTAGGTGTAGCGGGGTGCAACGAGGGAGCAAGTAATAGTGTTGTTGTTGTTGTTGTTATTGTTGTTTCCATCTATTCCGAGCGTGGAGCTTGGATACGGAAGAGGCACAGCGGGCAACGAGGATGACATCATTGTTTGTTGTCCCGTCTAATCCCGGCGCCACTATATACGTCCCTCTTTTGTGTTATATGTTTGATGCACCAGCCGAGGCCACACTACCCGTCAATGGATGGAATAATTGAATACGAGATCTCACCCACCAATCGTTGTAGTGGTCGGCGCTGGGAGCGACGCTTGGCAGATGAATCAATGCCCCCACGCTGGAGAAGACGATGGAATCTATCCCATGCATCCATCTCCTCTTGCTCGAGTTTTTTTAGGCCACCGTTCACCATCTTGACTTGATATTCACGCTCAGCTCGGTGACCACCGCTCATTGTTCCGTTTGCCACACACCTCGTGAAAATCCACGTTTGTCGGCAGGCTCAGGACGGAGCTCTGGGTTCGCGGAGCTACGTAAGGAGGAGGAGCAGGTCGCCCGCGTCCCCACACTCTATTCCTCCGCCGCGGTGGGGGGGGGGGGGGAGAGAGAGAGAGAGAGAGAGAGAGAGAGAGAGAGAGAGAGAGAGTCCATGTTCCTCGTGTTTTCCAGACCTATGTGCACGAGCTTTTGTTTTGGGGGGGGAAGGCGACGGGTTCGAAACCCCTCCTTCGGGTTTGCTCGAAGTCCTTTCATGACAGCTAAGAGATGAACCAGCAAGTGCGTATGGGCGTGTATGGGATGATGATGATGCCTGGTCACTTCGTTGTCGGGCGTGGTCTCAAAGACGTCGCGGCACAGGAAACGGACCTGTACTTTTTGTCTCTTGGAGCGGTGAGGGTTTGTTTTTGTGGCACTGATCCGAGAAGAGCTATTCGAGTTTCCTCGCGTGTGTATGCGTGTTTTCCGCCCTTCGTTCCGTGTGACCTGTCTGCAGATAAGAAGTTATCCCTGCTGACGGCGCCCCATGTAAGGGCCGATAAAATCACGCGACACAGACGGAAACAACCTCCCCCCCCCCCCCCCCCCCTCGGCCCCACCATAGCGGTTCGCGTTGGAACATCGTAGGCACTCGAGAGATTTCTTACCTTCGGAAGTGCTCGTCTATCTCTTGAGACGTCAACCTTTAGATACCCTCACGGGTGTGCACGTGTTGGTCTGTCTCACTCTACGAATCATCGACCAAGGTTCTGGCCCTACACGCCCGGGGTGTGGGACGGTGCGCGAACTTGGCTTTAGAGAGAGAGAGAAAAAACATGATTTCGGAGATCTGGGGTGCTTCAAATAAGGGTCTTCAGGAAATGCCGGAGATAGTTTATTCGCAGGTTGTGCTTCAGCCGGTTCGTTTTCTCGGGACAGAAACTCAAACCCCTAGCTAGGGAGCTGGCTTGAGAAAGCGTCAGTTAGCGGAAGCACCACCCGTGTTTCTGCGATTCTCTCTTTTTCTTTCTTGGCTCGGCTCTCTCGCGAAACGCTTCCTTAAGCGTGTTGCCACAACTCGGTGTGTGCCCGTTACGTCCCTCGTGTGCTGCTGAGGACTGCCGCCGGTCCGCCCTTTCTTACTCGAGGCAGCACGTGTTCCGGAAAAAGAATTGAGGCAAAAGTAACGATAATCATTCATGGTATTGAGTTTCAAAGGGGACGGCCAACGCATTAACAGAAACAACCACGGACCCCCCCCCCCCGCGTGTGCACCGTCCTTTTCGAGTAGAGGAGACAACAAGAAAATTTACGCAACGCATCGTTACAGCACCCGCAAAAAGCTTTCAAACAGGCGGGCAGGCAGGCGTTAGACCGCTGCTTGCTGTGCATGGCAGTCAATCATGATGCCGGGGAGACGTACACGAATAAATCTCCCCGTAGTTACTGCCGACGTGCAGCTGTGCGATGCCGAAACGCAACCAACTGCTAACCGTAGGTGACCTGACATAGAAAACCGCACACACACCTCGAACCTATTTAAAAGGTCAGCTACTTCATGACGACGCACAAACCAAACGGTACGCTAACGGCAACCTCTCTCTCGACGAGACGTTTTCAACGCCGACGTTTCGGCGCCGCAACTACGTCTTCGCCGTGGAGAACTCCAGCTCCGAAATCGGTCCAGCGGAGGGTGTGACCCCTTGCGTCACCTACAATGCTGATCTACCCGGAACCAACCAAGCCTAGTTCCCGAGAAAGTACAAAGAACGGCGCCGGGAACTCGAAGGCCGCCACTCCCTCCAACTTGCCTGCAGGCCGTGTGTTTTCATTCACCCTTATTTCTTTCTCTCAGAAATAATGCCAACCAAACAATTCCATTCCCCGAAATAAAAAAAAAACTTACGAAAATGCTCTCCTCGGGCGGGGGGGGATTTCTCGCGGGAGCGCGAAATTATGAAATAAAACACGTATCCACTGCTGATGAGTATCAACTCTCAGCACCAGGAGTGCATCGTTTCCTCAAACACAGGTTACGGACAGCTATTATAGTTCGAACAACTGGCGTGGGCGGCGGGCCAAGACGCTTGCCTTCGCTCTCCCAAGCGCAACACAACAACCCTTAAGACGCGAGCTGGCTCCGCGTCGTCATCGTCGTCGTCGTGTGTGCGTTTGTTTACTGGTGCTTATCCGTGAGATCCTGGAACATTTGCATCAAGTCGGAGACCTTCTGCTGACCTTTCCCTCGCAAGTTAACCTCATCCGCTTCCTGAGAAGGAAGAGCGAAAGACGAGGGCACACGGGGCAGGTGTATAGATAGGGGGTGGTGGTTACACACGGGCAAAATATGGGCGTGTCGCCAGCACGGAAATGTGGGGAGAGTTCGACGGCGCAGGTGCGTTGTGCTTACATGGGTGATTTACCAGCTGCTGTTGCTTTGTCCCGTGTTTCGATCAGCGCGGGTTTCGCTACAACTCAGCGCAAAAAGCCCGCAATTTTTGCCAGGCTGGGATCGGTCGGAAGAAAGACGGAAGGATGAAAAGATGGCCGCAACTCGAGCAACACAGCGTGCGTGCGGTGTCATCGCGCATCAGAAAGGCACAGTTTGACATGTGCTGACATTGTGCATCAGAAAAGGTACACTTTATGTGTGGTGCCATTGCGCATCAGACTAGGTACAGGAGCGCGTGTGTCTCTTCCGCCCCCGCACCCACGAGAACGGTGCACCAGAAAAGGTACAGCAAAGTACGTGTAAACCCTTTCCGCTTCCCCCACGACTCAAGTGCATCAGAAGAGGTACAGTTACGTGTGTGCTTTTTCCGCTTCCCCCACGACATAAGTGCATCAGAAGAGGTTAACGTGTGTACCTTTTCCGCTTCTGCCATGACATAATAGTGCATCCGAAGAGGTACAGTTACGCGTGAATCTCTTCCGCCCCCGCCCCCGCGACAATTGTGCGCCAGAAAAAAGGCACAGCTCCGTCAAGTGTGTACCTCTTCCGCTTCCCCCACGACCAGGATGTAGTTGTACTTGGCCGTCACGCCCTCCCGCACTTTCTTGTTGAGAGTCTTGTTGCTCGTCTCTACGTCCACGTAGAACCCTGCGTTGTGCAGTCGATCCTGTATGTAGATACACACAGTCACGGCAGCAGCAGCAGGGGTTTCAACGAAGCCAAGGTTTGGATGACGTAGCCACGGGGAGGGTGACACCGCAGCCATCGCACATCCAGGAGGGACAACACTAGTCCACGCCACCAGAGTACGACTGCTACTGCTGTACTAATATCATCATCATCATCATCATCGACAACATCGATAGTATCAGCACCAACGCGACAACAAAGCGGCCGGTTCCCGGTACACGCCGCAGTACACACCTTGACGTTGGTGGCGTAGTCGTTGTATTTTTGGGCGACGGGTACGATGAGCGCTTGCCGAGGCGACAGCCAGAACGGCCTGCGAAACGCAAAATAAAAACAAGTGAGCGGTTGGTTTTCTTGAATTCCTGACAAAATATTGACGGTTTCAAAAAGTGTTCGGAGCGCCGCCGAGGGGACATCCAGAACGGCCTGCGAAACGCAACATGAAAAAAAAAGAAATGAACGCCTAGTTATCTTGAATGCAGTGACGGTTTGAAGAAAGTGTTGGCAGCGCTTGCCGAGGGGACAGCCAGAAAGGCCTGCGAAACGCAACAACAACAACAACAACAAAAAACATTTCGTTTGCATGCCTAAACAGAATGGTGGCGACGGTTTCGCGTGTTAGGAGCGCTTCTGCCACGGAGAAGGACACAGAAGACGTCGTGCAAGAAAAGGCGATCGCGACGAAAGAGGGTGGGGGAAAAAAAACGGAAAAAAAAAACTGCACTGACTTACCACTTGCCCCCGTAGTGCTCAGTGAGCACCGCGATCATCCTCTCCAATGACCCCAGCATGGCACGGTGGATCATCACCGGCCGCTTCACCATGCCACCGCCGCCGCCGCAAAAAAAAAAAAAAAATGAAAAGACGAATAAAAAATCGAGCGCGTGAGTGAGTGTGTGTGTCGGGGAGGGTGCCCTCATGCGCACCCATGCCCCCGCATCTCTACAACGCCGGGGCGGAGGGATGTGCCGTGTGTGTGTGTGTGGGACAATGGTGCCAGTCAAGCAGTGCTTGGCGGCCACCGAGAAACAACGGTGTCGGAGAGAGTACGTGGTCTGCAAAGAGGCAGCAGGCCTAGCGTTGAGGAGAGAGGAGAGAGGAGAGAAGGGGCAAACAAAGGGCCCGCCGACCGCTATCCAGCGAAAAAACAGTCAAAACTCCTGGCGGACATCATCGTTGAGACACCGAACCACAACCAATTCCTCCGCAGAGCACCCAACAACGGATACACCATCGTTGAGGCAATGAACCGTGACGAATTCCTCCGCAGAGCACCCAACAACGCATACACCATCGTTGAGGCAATGAACCGTGACCAATTCCTCCGCAGCAACGGACAACGTATACGTTAAGAATCACCTTCTCGCCGGCGGGCTTAGCCTCCGATCCTCCGCCTTCCGCGGGCTTAGCCGCTTCCGGCTTGGCGTCACCGTGCTCCTCGGTCCCCGCGCTGTACCTGAATACACAGCAGTGCATCCAAGAGAAGGGGGAAGAGAGATAGGGGGGGGGGTAGAGAGAGAGTCAGACAAAGAGAGACGGAGACAGAAAGATAGAGAGACAAGAGCGAGCGAGAAAGATAAAGATAGATCGATAGATCTGACACCGTGTGTGTGATGTCTGCATTACTCCCTCCGCAAGGAAAGATGCAGTGTGATGCACCACCTCGTTAGCGTTAGCACCAGCACACAAAACGCACCCAAACCAGGGCGTGTGTGTGTGTGTGTACTCATGTAACTCATGGCGTATTTAGTCGTTAACAGATCATTGACCTCGCATGTCGGGCGGAGCGATGTGCCGGGTTTTCGCCGGCCCAGGCTGCGTTTCACAAAGGATGAATCAGGAGCTGGGGGGGTAGCTAGTCGATATCTTACTTGAGGTTGAACCGGATGGGCAGCTGGAAGTCGAGCTGTACGGTGGCGCACTGGTGGACCCGCTCCATCGCGTCGAAGACCTAACCACCGCCGACGATCGCCAAAAAAAGGGGGGGAGAGAGGAAGTATATGTTGAAACAGACACAGACAGCAAGGGCAATAGGAGTTAATGGATCGATGTTGAAACAGACGCAGACACCAAGGCGATAGGAGGTAAAGCTAGCATTCACGCGGATGAAATTGAAGAAATAGACACCGGGACCTGTAGAGACGCTTCGAGTCCGCTACCGACACAAACAACAAAAGTACCGCAGGCGTTACATCCTCCTGGACAAAAGCCCCGTTTCTCGACGACGAAGACGTTGCACAGATGAAACGGTGCGTTTTCGGAAAGTTCCAAGCAAATAGAACAACGTCATGTAGCAGAGGTGGTGACCGAACGTTACAGTAGTAGGGAGCGTGTTGGATGACAAACTTAGAGGACTATGGAACAGAGGTTTGAACGCCTAGCTACTGGCAATCCGTCGCTCCGAGTAAAGACTAGATCGATCTGCAACCGGTGTGAGCGGCAAGACTCCCGCCATTACCCCCACGGTGTTCAACAACAGCAGCAGCAGCCGCAGCCGCAGCAGCAGGAAACACGATCTCGTCTATCCCGGACTATTACAACCTTCCAACCAAACGATCTCATAGCAGCAGCAGGAAACACAACCTCCTCTATCCTTAAACATACACAAATGTTTCCAACCACACGACTTCATCATCAACAACGAGCCACGGGCAGCGTTTGTCTTTCACGAGAACCCAACACTCTCGACCGGCTACCGTAGGTGGCATGACGCAAGACACCACACCCCGTACCGATTTCCACAATAACAAAAAAAAATGGTAGATTTTTTCACAGGGCACAGAGCGGCGGTGCTGAAAATGGCCATCTGCGAATCGTCTACCGTAGATGGCGGAGAGATGGCACCTCCCCCAGGACCAATTTTCAAAGCTTGATTTCTCCACAACCAAAGGTTATGCCAACACCGAAAACGGTGGTTTCCGAAACATGTCGTCGAGAGCATGCCGTACACGTATCAGGCTCTCTCTTTCCGCACCCCCTTGGTTGTGGAGCAATCGAGCTTTGAAAGTCGGCCTAGGGGGGGGGGGGGGGGGGGCCCCCCCCCCCCCCCCCCTGCCAAAACCCCAAAACGGACGGCGGCCTCGACTAAAAAACTTGGGTGGGGAAAAAACCAACTTTTAAAAATGGGCCCGGGGGAGGGGCCCCCCCCCCCCCCCCTAAGGGAAGCCAAAACTTTTCCCCCAAACCGGACCCGGCCCCCCCCCCCTAAATAAAAACCTTTGGAAAACGCGAAAAAAAATCCCCGAAGGCCCCTCCTTGCCCAAAAAACCTTTACCCACCCTCAACCCTTTTACTGGCCGGAACAACCCCCCCACCGGGACCCGTTAAACCAAAAACCCCCCGGGCCCCTAAGCCTCCTCCCGGCGGGCGGGGAACTTTTTAAAATCC